GTGGCAGATACCTGTTCATACACTTGCTTCAAATACGGCGTATATGCCCTAAAATGTCCACCCTCACCAGATTTTTTTTTTGGGGGTGGGGGGGGGAGGAGTCGATTATGGGTCTTGAACTCTGGGCCTGGACGCTGTCCCTCAGCTCTTCAGCTCAAGGCTAGCGCTCTACCACTTGAGCCACAGCGCCACTTCCGGCTTTTTTCGTTTATGTGGTGTTCTACCACTGAGCCACCTTCCTAGCACCACCTCCTATCTTTTTAAGACCCAGACTGGCCTTCCGGTGGGTTATCCTGCCCTCAGCTCCCAAGTGCTGGGATTACAGGTGTGTACCCATGTCCAGCTGTCTGTGACTCTGCAGGGAGTGCTGTGTCTGTATTGATGTTGATGGAGGCCTCCTCAGCCCCTCCTGACAGGACTTCCTCGGAGGCAGGATGCCCCTAGCTCCTGCGTGCAACCAGACGCCCGTGGCCACCCCGTCAGGACACGTCCTGCCAGCAAAAGGACCGGGCTGGTAGCTCAGCAGCACAGCGCTGGTCTCGTGTGCACAGCCCAGTGCTGCAGAAGGGGAGCCCAGGCTGGCACGCAGCCCCGGGTCCCTCGGCAGCGTCCTGGTCACCCGCAGGTTTGAATACCTCTTCAACTTTGACAACGCCTTCGAGATCCACGACGACATGGAAGTGCTGAAGCGGATGGGGATGTCCTTCGGGTTGGAGTCGGGCCGCTGCTCTCTGGAGGACCTCAAAGTGGCCAAGTCCCTGGTGCCCAAGGCCTTGGAAGCCTATGTCACAGGTAAGAGAGCTTGGGGGAGAGGGGGCGCCCCTCGCCTTAGCTGCTCAGGCTGATGGGGGAGGGTCCTGGTCCCCCCCCCCCCAAAAAAAAGAACGGAGAAGGCAAGAGGAGAGCATGGAGGGGAAGAGACACAGGAGAGCGCGAGGCGGAGGGGCGGGGGGAGTTCCGGTCTCCCATGCTGTCTGTCTTTCCCCGCAGACATTTCCAAGGAGGCGTCCTGGCTGCAGGGGCCGCTCCTCCACTCGGCCCAGCCTGTTCCCAGTTTAGGCCCAGCCTCCAGCGGGCCGGCACCCCAGCCCAGGTAAGTGCGGGCTACCCCAGGTTGGGGGGCGGGGAGGGCAGCACCCGGGCGCTGACCCGTCCCATGTCTGTGTCCCCAGCGGCCCCCCGGGGCTCTGCGCACACACCGAGGGGTCCCTGGCCGCGGGCCCGCTCCTGGCCACCCAGGGCCGGCTGGGCAGTGGCACGGGGTCCCGGGGCGAGACGCCCAGCTCCTTCAACGAGGATGACGAGGACGACAATGAGGACTCCTCTTCCTCCTCCTCCTCCTCCTCCTCCTCGGCCCCTGAGTAAAGCCAGACCAGCCGCGCTGCGCCTTGGGACCCAGGGTGTGCGCCCTGCGTGTGGGGTGACCCGTGACCCGTGCTGACCTGCTGCAGGGAGCCAGGGTGGGCACAGGAAGCAACCGGCGCCGGTGCCAGGTTGGTCCACTGTTGTAGCCGGCCGGAGGCTGTCCAAGCTGGCAGGGAGGGCACCGTGCGCTGCAGGCCGGGCTCCCTCCGCAGGCTCCAAGGCCTCCCACAGCCCCGTGCAGGGGGCAGGGCCCCTCCAGCGGGTCAACACCCCCAACCGCCCTGCAGGCTGCAGAGCCCCGCCTTGTAAATAAACGCCATATTTCTGTTCATCTGACCAGGCCGGGATGTTTGCGGCACAGCTTGGGCCTACCTGCCCTGTGGGAGGGGAGTTAAGAACATCTGCTTCCTAGCTTACTCAGGAGGCTGAGATCTGAGGTTCACAGTTCAAAGCCAGCCCAGGCAGGAAAGTCTGCGAGACTCTTATCTCCAATTAACCACTCAAAACTGGAAGTGGCGCTGTGGCTCAGGTGGCAGAACACCACCTTTGAGCACTTTAGGCCCTGACTGCTAAGGTCAAATGTTTCTCAGCGCTGAGCCAGCTAGTACCTCCACTAACATTCTTTTACCAAGGTCTGGAAGGTGCTGCCGTTCCACACGTTCTAGGTGTGCCTGCGGGCCCCAGGGGAAGCAACTCCATCTCTAGATCCACAGCCTCAAGCTGTGTCCATTCTCCCTACCAACCAAGTCCCTCCCTCGCTGTCTACTCCCCCTGGGACACTTTTGTCTTCCCCCTCTCCCAGTCCATTCCCCTGCTCTGCTGAGCTTGCTTTATGGCCACCTCATCAGCCCGGCCAGCCAGCCCCGTTCACCCCCCCCCCCCCCCCCGCACTAAGGCAGACCCCCGCAGACGCCTGTGGTGGCCAGTACGCAGGTAACCGAGGCTTCCCGCAGCCTGAGCAGGGAGCCCTGGAGGGGAGAGGATCTGCTCCCAGGTGACCCCTGTTCCTTAGCAACAATAGACAGCTGAGGTGCACACACTCATGGTCGGTTTTAACCCCACTACCAAAGAAAACCCCTCACTAGCGGGGCTGGGAAGCTGGCTCAGTGGTAGAGCACTTGCCTCGCATGCAAGAGGCCCTGAGTTCGATTCCTCAGCACCACAAAGCCAGAAGTGGCGCTGTGGCTCTAGTGATGTGAGCGCCAGGCTTGAGCTGAGGAACAGACACCCAGGCCAGTTCATAGAGGCTCAGAAATCAAACCAGCTGCCCCACCGCAAGCCAGATCTGGCTCCACACCCCTCAAGTGTGTTCTTCCCTGGGTGGGGTGAGGGGTGGGGCCTTCACCCTAAGATCTACCCTAGGCCTAGGCGTTCCAACTCCTCTCGCACCCTGACTCATTTACTGAGTTCCAGGCCTGTCCCAAACATTGCTGGAGCAGTGTTTTCCCCCTTGTACAAAGGCCAGGCTAACCTTGCACACACACTCCTTTAATTCTGGTACTAAGATTAGGCGTGCAGTTACCTAGCAGACACCACATCTACTGGGGATGGATGGACACACACACACCTGCTTCAAAATGGAACTTCTTCCCAAAGAGAGCCCCTTGCTTCCCTGTGGGGCAAGTCTGAAAACCCTGTTAGTCATCTTCACAAACTCAACTCCCAGTAAAGCAAGGAGAGCCAAGTGAGGCGCGGGAGGGGTGCTCCTCCCGACGTGCGCTCACGCGGTGCAGGCAGGGAGAGCATGGCCAGCCTGTCAAGACAACAGATTTGTTCAGAACTCTGCCCCAGCAGCACCTGCAAGCTGCGGCTCCCACAGCAATGCCCACCAGGAGGCGCCGTGCCACCAGGCCCGGCAGAGAGCCTCTGGGTTTAGTGCAGGATTCAAGGGCACAGCACCATCAACTCTGGGACTAAAAAGCTTCCAGACTTCTCTTAGCTGCCCCTATCAACAGCTGGTTGTTTTAAACGCCCTTCATCTGTCAACGTTAACTGAAGGCTGGTCTCCGCCTGTCCCTGTCCCCCATCCCCATGTGGAAGCAGGCCAGGACCCAGTTGACAAAGGTACAGCCCTGACTCCTGTTAGCCCGGATCAGGGTGGGTGGATGGAATCCCCCAGCAAGCTAAGTCTCGCACAGACCACTGCACATGCTCCAAAGTAGGAGGAACTCCAAAACGGAGCTGAGGCAGACCCGAGCTCCCATCCCTCAAGCCCAACACGTCTGGCCTCCCTGTCTTCAGGGCTCACTTCACAAAGTCTAGAGAAAGGAGTGAGGTGCCAAGCCAGTTCCCCACTCCAGGGTCCTTACAGACGCAGGAACCCAGGGGGAGGTCACAGCGGTCAGGCTGGCGAGGGGCTCCGTAGTGACAAGAAACCTCATGGGCCTTTCATACCACGGTTGGATCTGCTCCCGTCTGCTCATTGACGCAGAAATCCCATGCACACCACACTCCTCAGCCGGATGCCTCGCGCCCACTCCCGTGAGCCACAGCTGCTCGCAAGGCCTGCTCCAGCAGGCCGTGGCTGTGGCCTCTGCAGCCTGGCGCAGGCTGGCCACCACTCGCTCCTTACAGCAGAGCGCACAAGAGGTCTCCAGAGGACCGACACCATGGCCCTGGAGCCAGGGCAGCCAGCGCAGCTCCCCCAGCCCACAGAAGCCTGCTGGTGTGTCCCACCCGTCCTACGTGCAGCTACAAGCAAAACCTCAACACAATGCGGCTATTTAAAACAAAAAGAGGAAAAGGAGGCCAAATACTGGCGGCTCACACCTGTAGTCCTAGCTACTTCAAGAGGCTGAGAACTGAGGATCACAATTTGAAGCTAGCCAAGACAGGAAACTGAAACTCCTAACCATCAGAAAAGCAGAAGTGCTGTGGCTCAAAGTGGTAGAGTTCTAGCTTGAGGACCAAGAGGCTCAGAGACAGCACCCAGGCCCTGAGATCAAGCCCCGACTGCCCAAAGGAAAAGGAGAAAAGCACAACTATAAAGGGTATAAAAAGCCCTGCAGATCACACAAGAGGTCACCAATGAGCTAACCACTGCATACACCTGGAGGGAGGGCCGAGTCCACACTGCCAGGCAGAGAACGGGAACCGAACCCCACTGATGGACTTTGAGCTTTCAGTATATATAGGATATATAAAGGATAAATAAAGGATATACATTTCAGAATGTGTATCCTTTATTAGCCCACAATCGGCCAAATAAAAACAGTAGGAAGATATTTCACGAACTATTATACAACTTAAGTCACATGAACTGGATTCCATAAAAAATTAGGTACATGATCATCCTGACTAACCTACGCACGCTTTCACCTGTGTTCTCAAAGGCAGCAAGACTCGCTCCTGGCACAAGACAAACCCCACCAGCGCTTCACATGCTTTCCAGCAAGACACGTGTGCTGCTCACCAGAACACCCACAGACCAAGCAGGTGAAAAGCATTACAAAAAACGCCAAGGTAACACTTTCAGATCCACGTTTATTTCTGTTCCTCCTCACACACAGCGCGTCTCACACACACAATTTCCTGCAGCTAGGAAGTCACTTGATGCTGGCAAGGCACCAGCTCTGTTGGCATCGGAATCTGACAGTTAACCAGTGTTAAGTCCATGAAGTATTTGCACAGCACAGCACAGGAAGCTTTAGGCACGACAGCGAGCCCGGGAGGGGAGGAGGGCGGCGCGGTGTGGCGTGGCACGCATCTGCAGCCAGGCACGGTCCCTAGCTGGCTGCACGCGGGCTGCCGGCGCAGAGCCACAGGACGCAAGGGCAGGACACGCAACGCCACACGCGGAGCCAAGTGCCATGTGCCCCGCTGTCCTCCAGGGCGGTCTCCTAACTCTAGAATGGCAGGTCCAGCTGATGCACCAAGACCGACAACACATTTATTCTGTGGAGACCACCTACACATCCTAGGCACGCGCTGTGATTTTGAACACGACTCGTCCCAAAAACTTGTCCCGATCGTCCTCGTTCCTCAAGTTGGGAGACCCGTCGATCTTGCACTCGACGGTCACTTCCCTCTTGGTACTGTTAGCTTCGAAGGTGACCTGGACAGCAACAAGCGGCTGCAGGTACCCCACCTGGCAGACAAGGAGACACGTGTTCACATCTGCATCCACCCAGCCATGCTCCAGGCTGCCACCCTGGCTCAATCTCCCTTTTCCTTCAAGAAGGTCTTGTACTTAACAACAAAAAAAAACACACAAGGCCTGGGAAGGTGGCTCGGTGGTAGAGGGTTCGCCTTGCATGCACAAGGCCCAGGGTTCGATTCCTCAGCATCTCATAAACAAAAAGAAGCCAGAAGAGCTGAGGGACAGCGCCAGGGCCCATAGGTCAAACCCCACAACCAACCCAAAAAAAAAAAAAAAAAAGCCACCACAGAAGTCACAGCACATTGGGCGAGACCTTGTACTTCTTTAGAGCTTGTCTGCCTTCTCAGCTCAGCACGCCGCTTCCACGCACGGTGAAAAGCACCGTCCTCCATGTGTGAGCACGCGCTTTCTGTTCTGCTCGCCTCATCGGGAACTTTCAGTTGCACTCAAGAGGCGTCAGCCCACCCAGGCAGCTGCCGCTTCCTTAGTCAGCACCACACAGAACCTTGTTACTTACGTGCAGTTTTTTCCCATAATATGGGAAATACTTTAAGTCTATGGCTCCCTGGTCGGGGTATGTTGACACGGAGGCTGTGGTCTCATCCTGTGGGAAAGCACAGAAACGCTTCAGGTGAGGGCGAAGGGGAGAAGTCCGCGTGCACGGCGCAGCGCTGCGGCAGGCGCTGCCTGAGGCGCAGCCAAAATTGCCAGGGTGCGGGGCTTTACTGCAGGCCTCACCAGCGGAAGCCTGCACACAGCTGCGCACCTCTTCCCGCACTCCTGAGCCAGTCCTACCGTGTCCTGTGGCCCAACAACTGCTACTGGCAGCAGACACAGCTGCCAGCCTGGACCAAGCGCAGAGGCTGCCGCAGCTCCAGACCATAGCAGCCGCCATGAGCCACGCTCAGGCCCAGAGGTGGTAGGTGTGAAATTTGGGGAGGTGAACACAGGAAGCAAGGCAGACTCCATTCTCACAGCCCACGAATGAACACAGGAGATTACCCGCAAATCACCAAGTACTTGCAAACACATGAACTTCCCATTTAAATAAACTCATCTCTACAGTGGAGATGCGTGCATGCAGGGGAGCTCTTCCTTCTATCCCACCCGCTACATTCATCACCACGAAGCACCACATGACAGGGGTACACACCACACCCCTAAAGTGTGGGGGGGAGGCCCTCCCCGAGGGCACCTCCTGGGCTCTAAGGACCTGGGTAGAGCCAAGGTCGTAGCAGGGGCTGGCAGCCATGTTCCCAGTGTGAGTCACCCACGTCTACAGCATGCTCCAGACACCACCCCCACCCCCACAGGTGCACTCCTTTACAGCTCTCCCTGTGGCAGGCCTGCGGGCAGAGCTCAGGATAAGCTTGAGTAGCTTAGGGAAGGCCTTGGAGTCCATCCCTGACACTGGGGTAAACATTTAAACAAAAAGGGTGTTTGTATCAGTCCTGGGCTTGAACTCAGGGCCTGAGCACTGTCTCAGCTTCCTTACTGAAGGCGAGCACTCTACCACTCGAGCCACAGCTTCACTTCTAGTTTTCTGGTGGTTCATTGGAGATAAGAGTCTCACTGACCTTCCTGCATGGGCTGACTTCAAACTCTGATCCTCAGATCTCTGCCTTCTAAGTAGCTAGGATGACAGGCGGGATCCACCGGCGCCCAGCTTACATTAACCAATTCTACTTCAATAAGAGAGCCTCATTCACAGAGCTGACACACCCATGAGCAACTAAGTTAAATGAAAAATCTGTCTCTATCAATGTCACTTGAGAAAGTCAACGATAGCAAATAAAATTTTTGCAGATACTGAAGAAAGGCTCCGCATGCCAGACACACAGCACAGCCGGGACTGCTGCCTGTTCACCCTACTGAGGAGTGAGCTCCGCAGATGTCCCTACGAGACAGAGACCACACCTACTTGGGTTACTTTATAGAAGTATATACTTTACACACACCTCTAAAGCAAAAGGGACAGCAAGATGAAATTTGGACATTAGCACTGGAGTTTCATGAACATTTTCCAATTATTCTACAAAGCAAAGGTTACACAGATAAAATGTAGAAAAATAAGTTTAACACATGAAGGAGACAAGAGCTCAGTGGTGTAAAGCCCTGGTTCAATCCCCAGCTCAGCAAAAAGGAGGGAGGAGGAGAGGGAGGAAGGGCATGGTAAATCACAGCGGCTCCAGCCTGTAATCCTAGCTACTCTGAAAGCAGAGCTTAGAAGGATCGCACAGTTAGCAAGAACACCATCTTAACAAAACAAGCAAGGTGTGGTGGCACAGTATTATCCCAGCTAAAAAGGAAGACAGGAAAGTTGAGGTCCAAGCTTGGTGCCAGGCCCCTCCTCAAAAACTAAAGTACAAGGGGTCTCCACACAGGGTCCAAGGGGTAGAGAACCTGCCGCCAGTGTGAGGCCAGAGGGGCGTGGCAGAGGCGGGGCTCGACGGCTCTGGAGCAAGATCCCTGTGGCCAGAGGCTTACACGAGGCAGGGGTCTGCCCCGCTGGCCTAGCAGAACTCCCATCTAGACATAGGCTCGGCTCATCCAAGGGCCTGCTCCCAGAAGGGCATGGTCGTGGATCGGCACTCCGACCTGGCTGCAGTGTGGAGCCCAGGCCCAGGAACTTGCTGCTGGAAAGCTGTGCAAGTAAATTCTGAGAATAATTACATGATAGGGTTTCTTGACATTTGTGGAAACATTTACAAGTGGTATGTAGACTTAAGGAAGATTCTCGCTTTCATCAGGCAGGATCTCACTGAGCAGCCAGGATGACCCAGAACGGTCATTCTTCCTGCCCTGCCTCTGCTTTCTGGAGCTGGGTAGAAACGTGGGGAACTGGGACACCCAAGGGGCCCAAGGAGAGGAATGAGTGAGCAACTAGTGAGCTCCTGCACAGATGAGGAGCCTCCTGTGATGGAACCCAGCGCCAGCTCTCCACAGCCCTCCATGATTTTACCATAACCCATCAGGAACACCACTTCTGCTGTGGATTGAATCCTAATACCTAACACAACCATAAGACTAAGTTTAGAGCGTAAGGATCTCTACCTTAGAACTCTTACCCATCTTTTACCCATTTGTCTTAGTAGCAGATGCAGCATGGAAAGAAAACAAAAGAAGTTATGAGATGAGAACTGCACGGCATGCTGGCAAAAACTAAGTAGGAAGGAGGAGCATATGAACACCTGTACCTTAAGGAGATGAACCATATTTCATAAACTCTCAAGTACTGATGGTTAGGTCACCCGTGTATGTACTATTAAGAAAACAGTCATGCTGGGAAGGTGGCTCAGTGGTAGAGCGCTTGCCTTGCATGCCTGAGGCCCTGGGTTCCATTCCTCAGCACCACATAAGCAAAATGAAAAAAGCCGGAAGTGGTGCTGTGGGGCTCAAGTGGTAGAGTGCTAGCCTTGAGCTGAAGAGCTGAGGGACAGCGCCCAGGCTCAGAGTTCAGGCCCCACGACCGGACCCAAAAAAAAAAAGAAAAGAAAACAGTCACGATATAGTATTAAGACAGCTGTGATTACAACCCCAATTTCAGCATTACTACTTGGGGATGGAGTCACTTCAGCATTACTAGTTTGAGAGGAGTCATGAAATATGGTGTACAGAGCATGAACGGCACACGTGGCGTGGACATCCCTCGGGCCATCATTAGGAGACAGGGCTATTGAAATGAGCTGTGTGGACTGGAGTCTAGAAGGACACAGGAAGGGCGTCAGGGAAGAGGCGACAGGACTCTGGCGGCGGAAGCTCTCCACGCATGACGCTCAATACTAACCTTTGAAACACATCCTATCTTTGGTTCTCCTTCAGGCTTTAATCCAATGATCTGAGGGCAAGAAACATGGATTAATTTGAATCATTGTTTCTGCTGGAACTTCCTCCTCGCTGCTGGGGTTGGGGAGGGCAGGCACGACTATCTCAACTTTATTTAGGGTATTAAAATGAACTTTGGGGCTGGGAAGGTGGCTCAGTGGTAGAGCGCTTGCCTTGCATGCCTGAGGCCCTGGGTTCGATTCCTCAGCACCACATAAGCAAAAAAGAAAAAAGCCAGAAGTGGCGCTGTGGCTCAAGTGGTAGAGCGCTAGCCTTGAGCTGAAGAGCTGAGGGACAGCGCCCAGGCCCAGAGTTCAGGCCCCATGACCGGACCCCCCAAAAAATCTTTTTTAAATAAATAAATAAATAAAATGAGCTTTGCTATATAATAACATTTCCAGTTAGCAACCTTATTGCTGCGTTAGAGCAATTTAGAAAATAAGCCAGTTATCAAAGAACAGACCAAAACAGTGTCTACCTTGCTGCCACACTGGAACAAGAAGCAGCAGGCAAAAAGGTGACTTTTGGGCAATGGACAGAGAAAAAAATGACCAATCGTAACATCCCTTTCAAAGGCCACTGTGTTATAACGTCCGTAATGCTGACAGTGACAGCCTTGGTCCGCTCAGTGGCTTTACTTACCGCCCTACACACTAGGGGGCAGGTCCGTACTGCCCCCTCCCGTGAACCCTGCCAAGCCACCTTCAAGTCCAGTCTCCTATCGCAGCACGTGGCCTGGTCCTGCTGAAGGGTCTCAGCCCTGTGTGGGGCGGGTGCTGAGCCATCTCGTGGCTGGCATGGGCAGGAGCACTTCCAGAGTGCTGCACCTCACCAGCGAGGTCAGGCTGCACAGCACCCACAGCTGACCTTGGTCACGCAAGCCTCTGTCCAGGCGCAGTGACTGTCGGGAGGCTACAGAAGGGTTGGTGTGGCCACTCGGGGCTTAGCCCACCTCCCCAGGGAAACACACACCTCACAGCACAGCTCCACACGCCACAGCGTGGCACTGGGGACTGTAGAACTGGCTTAGGGCTGGGCAGGTGGCTTAGTGATATAGCGCTTGCCTAGCTTCATAGCCCTGGGTTCAATTCCTCAGTACCACATACACAGAAAAGGCTGGAAGTGGTGCTGTGGCGGAAGTGGTGCTGTGGCTCAAGTGGTAGGGTGCTAGCCTTAAGCAAAAGAAGCTCAGGGACAGCGCCCAGGCTCAGAGTTCAAGCCCCAGAACAAAAAGTAGCAACTAGCTTAGTAAAAGTGACTTCAGTGATAGAGAGAACAGCTCCTTCCTGCCCTCGGGGCTCGAGCGGCCCCAGCCCAGAGCATGGGAACGGCAGCCAGGCTCTGGGCGGGACCACATGCTCAGCGAACGGCTTCCTCTGAGCTCCTTAGAACAGGGCTGTGTCTGTAATGCCACTACTTAATGACATATCTGTAAAATATAAAGCTATACTTGGCTACCAAACATTCAGAAAATGTTAAACAGAGTAATCACTGACCACCAACCCTTTGTGGTGTATTTTTTCCAAAGCAATAATTATCAGTGCCAGCTTTCCCCTAATGAAGGTGTTACCCCAAGCCAAAGAAATAATCTAGCACTGATGGGCAGCTCCTTAAAGACGGCCTGAAGCAGTAACAGAGGTGAACACATACGTACACGGTTCATTTTCACAAGAACACAAGGCTGGCCTTGGGAGTAGCCAAAATCAGGATCTTTGGTACCATTGCAAGCTTCAAGTAAGGACACAGGAAACTGACATGCGGCATAAACCGGACCCGACTGTTCAAAGAGTGTTCCATCAGGACACACAGTGAGATTCTTCTGTTCTTCTAAAGAATATGCTAGAAAGGAAATACAAGACAGGATGTTGAACACAAGCAGGAACACAGCATCCTTTGCGCAATGGTCTTCTAAGACAAGGCCAGCCCTGCTAGCAGGTGACAGCGGGAAGGAGGGCGCCTTCTGCTGCTCGGGTGGCTCTCCAGGCCTCTTACAACACCGTCTGCAGAATCCCATGTCTCCTGTCTCAAGTCAGCAGCACCAGCCACACTACAGCGCCTCTGCAAGCCTTCTGTACGAAGGCAGAATGGCCCTCTTAAAGCAAGAGAGCGGGCAGCGAGCAGACCCAGAGGGCAGCTCCACTCAGGAAACCACGTGGTTTTACTAAAGAGAGGCAGAAGTTCTGCCACAGGTAATTGACAGACTGAGAAGTAAGGGATTTTAGAGTACTCCCAAAAGTTAAATGAATCAACCAGGCAAGAAAGGGTGCTGGGACTACAGGCTGAGAGTCACAGAATTCCCTAGGGGGCAAGTCCTCCGAAGCAGGACCCCGGGTGAAGACAGCAGAACCCCTGAAGACAGCAGAGCAAACTGGAGTGCGAAGGGGGGGAGGGGGGAGGGGGAAGGGGAGAGCCACACCAGGAGAGCTCATTTCACAACCAGGGACCTGGGCACACAGTCCTCTCCTCTAGGGAGCAGTGCTGGTGTGTGCAGCTGAGACCATCATCAAGAAGAGCCCATCAGGGCTGGGAAGGTGGCTCAGTGGTAGAGCACTTGCCTTGCATGCCTGAGGCCCTGGGTTCAATTCCTCAGTACCACATAAGCAGAAAGAAAAAAGCCGGAAGTGGTGCTGTGGCTCAAGTGGTAGAGCGCTAGCCTTGAGCTGAAGAGCTGAGGGACAGCGCCCAGGCCCAGAGTTCAGGCCCCACGACCGGACCAAAAAAAAAAAAAAGAAGAGCCCATCAGCCGGGCGCAGTGGCTCATGTCTGTAATCCAAGCTACTCAGGAGACTAAGATCTGAGGACCATGGTTCAAAAAGCCAGCCCAGGCAGGAAAGTCTGTGATACTTATCTCCAATGCACGACTCAGAAAAGGCCAGAAGTGGCGCTGTGGCTCAAGTGGTAGAGTGCTTGCCCAGGCCCAGAGTTCAAGCCCCAGGACCAGCAGTAAAAAAAAGAAAAGAAGAGCCCATCAAGCTGGGTGCTGTGGCTCCCGCCTGTACTCCTAGCTCGTCAGGAGACAGATCTGAGGATTGCAACTTGAAGCCAGCCCAGGCAGGAAAGTGCGTGAGACAAGTCTTAACACCAGCCAATCACAAAAAAAGTCAGAAGTGGCACTAATGGTTCAAGTGGAAGAATACTAGCCTTGAGCTAAAAAGGAGCTCAGAGACAGCGCCCAGGTGGTGTTCAAGCCCCAGGACTGGCAAAAAAAAAAGTTCAGGGACAGTGCTCAGGTCCTGAGTTTGAGCCCCATGACTAACCAAAAAAAAAAAGTACAATACAAATTTGCTCTGTTAATCAGACATTTATGTTGTTCTATAAATTAGAACACTCTTACAACTCATTTTGGAATATTTAGAGATCCTCTCATTTGTCTACTTAAAAAAAGTGAAACAAGGGGCTGGGAAGGTGGCTCAGTGGTAGAGCGCTTGCCTTGCATGCATGAGGCCCTGGGTTCGATTCCTCAGCACCTCATAAGCAGAAAAAGCCAGAAGTGGGGCTGAGGCTCAAGTGGTAGAGCACTAGTCTACAGATGAAGAGCTAGGGACAGCGCCCAGGCTGAGTTCAGGACCCACGACCGACCCAAAAAAAAAAGTGAAACAAACTAAGAATGTTTGGAAAAGTAATGATAACTCAGTGCTAGGTTCTATAATCTATAATGACTAACTTTATTGCACATTCCTACAAGAAAATATACTTACATTTTAGAAACCTCTTAAGATCGTTAATATATCCTTTATAGGAATTCGGATCTGATAAACTAAATGTATATTCCAATGCACTCACTGGTTTTGGATAAACCATAAGTCCTAAAAGATAAAAGAAAATTTTTTAAAAGGTATGTATGTGATATGGCTAAATCTCCTCTCTCTTATCCTAAAAAGCAGATCTCAGTAAATCACATAGCAAACTGTCCAGTTATACTACAGTTATCAACTTCCCACTTTTACCCATCTATGAAAATAAGCCATGTCAAATTAAAGAAAACTTAACTCTTCAAAAATAACCTGGTTTTAGCAAACCAGTCTAATCATTTTTGCATCTAAAACACCACTGTCTGGGATATTCACAAATGCGCGACATCTTTTTCAGGGAAAGAGGTCTGTTGGTTCTGCGCGGCTGTTGCTAAGGCTCAGAAGTGATAGTGACGGAGGATGCAGGCGAGACGCTCAGCACTGTGACCTCAGGCTGGGCGACTCTTCCTGTACAGCGTGACGCCCACCCTGTGCACTACAGGGGGGCTAGCAGCATCGTTAACAGCAGTTCTGCTCTCCTGTTTTACCACTAAAAATACCTCCAGACACAGCTGAAGGGCCCTTGGAGAATAAAACATGACTGGTAGCAAAACCAGCGCTCTGGAAAAGAAGCCCCCTGCTGGGCTCCCCACAGCCCCTTTCCCACTCCTCTATCGCCATCTCTACCAGGAACATCCTGCCCATCGCTGCTTTCTATTCCACAAATGGCCAGTACCAGGCCAGGGATGGAGGGCAGTGGTACACCACTTGCGCAGCAGACACAAGAGCCCTGGGTTTATGTTTCAGCACCACAAAATATATAAATACTGCCAGCACCTTGAGGAGGGAGCCATGCCTAACAAGACAGCTGTCCCACAGAGACTGACGGCAAGGACTGAAGTTAAGAAGTACAAAATATAATTCAAGGCTGGGAAGGTGGCTCAGGGGTAGAGTGCTTGCCTTGCATGCATGCATGAGGCCCTGGGTTCAATTCCTCAGCACCACATACACAGAAAAAGCCAGAAGTGGCATTATGGCTCAAGTAGTAGAGTGCTAGCCTTGAGCAAAACAAGTTCAGGGACAGTGCCCAGGCCCTGAATTCAAGCCTCAGGACTAGCAAAAATAAAAATAAAAAAATACATATATTTCAGCAAAGTTTTTAGTATTCTTTGCCATAATGGAATTTTGTTTCTTAAGACAAAGAGAAAAATTAAACAGCAAATTTTATTGCTACTTAATACTTTTTACCTAGCTGCCTTTTAACATTTTTAATCATTTTCATACTAACCAATTAGAACCACAAAGCCGTATTTGTTTAGACCACAGCACTACACAAACAATGTAATTCACACATAAATTTCCCAAGGCCAAAAGAACAATATTCATGACACTATTTAAATCTGTAACTACTATCCAAATGTACTTCAATCAAGTTTCAATTATTCACTTATTTCCAATTATTCCACACAAAGGATTCAAGTTTTACCAGTTTAAAAAAAAATTAAGGGGCTGGGAAGGTGGCTCAGCGGTAGAGCGCTTGCCTTGCATGCATGAGGCCCTGGGTTCGATTCCTCAGCACCACATAAGCAAAAAGAAAAAAAGCCGGAAGTGGCGCTGTGGCTCAAGTGGTAGAGCACTAGCCTTGAGCTGAAGAGCTGAGGGACAGCGCCCAGGCCCAGAGTTCAGGCCCCACGACCAGAGTCCCCCCGCCCCCCCCCCCCAAATCAGTACATATTAAGAAATAGCAATCACAATCGACACTCCCATTTCCCAACTCCGTGGTTTAACTTATCTTCTATCCGCTCAGTACAAAGCAGATCTGTGGCAGAGACAAGTCAGAGCCCCAGTGTATTTCAGGAAGAGAACCCATGGTTACCTGGGCTAGAGATCTGGTCGCGGTATTTCGGAACCTCGTCGTTCAGGGTCTGAAGCATGGCCCACATTGTGAGTGTGAAGAGCCCAGCCAGGAACCCATAAAAAACTAGGTAGAAGAGCAAGATCAAACCTGCAAAGAAAGGAAGGCAATGAGACTCAGCACCCACAGTGCAGGCATTCGGCCTGGGGAGGTAGTGGGCCCAAGCTTAGCCATGCACCAAGGTGCCCGGGCAGTCCAGCCGGCAGCCATGAGCCTCGCTCCACCCCCCCCACCCCGCCTCCCCCCACTTCCAAGTTACAGTCAGCTTCTGCCACTCCTGCTGGAAAATGCCAGCCCATGTGTAGAGGAATGTCCCCCCAAAAGAACAACATGCCCTCTAAGAGAAGATGACGGTGCGGGGTCAGCCTCTCCCCATGTTTTCACATGTCACCTTAAGTGGCAAGCAGAAAAACATTACATAAAGCCTGTGCATCAGCCAGCAATTACTGCAAATGCTTCCAAAAGTGAGGTGACTTAGAAGAACACCAACCAGACATGCAGTGAAGGCAAGTGGGGGAGGGCACCCGGTGAGGGGGGAGGGGGAGGAGGGGAGTGGGGGAGGGCACCCGGTGAGGGGGCAGGGGGAGGAGGGGAGTGGGGGAGAGGAGGGGAGGGGAGTGAGGGAGGGGAGGGGCAGGGGAGTGGGGGAGGGGCGGGCGAGGGGGGAGGGGAGTGGGGGAGGGGAGGGGCAGGGGAGTGGGGGAAGGAGGGCAATGGGGGGAGGGGAGTGGGGGGAGAGGAGGGGAGGGGAGTGGGGGAGGGGAGGGGCAGGGGAGTGGGGAAGGGGCGGGCGAGGGGGGGGAGGGGAGTGGGGGAGGGGAGGGGCAGGGGAGTGGGGGAAGGAGGGCAATGGGGGGAGTGTAGAAGACACTGGCCAAGCGAAGGGCCATGCACAAGTGCAAGGAGCACAAGCCTACTAGTGAGCGGGTGGGGCCGTGCGCTGTGCCGCTAGCCCCAGCAAGGCAGGACGCACTGGCCTCCACACCACCCTTAACCCCTTCTCCAGTTACTTGGAAACACGCAGACCCCCACACCAACGATTTTGGGGGGGGGGGAACATGTGAAAATCAGTAATTTGTCTCAAAGTTCTAAAGTCAAAGTGATCAATAGGGAGCTTATTTATCAAAATACATGAAGTCATTCATGTTTAAGCGTGGAACAATCCTTAAGACTGTGCAGCTGTGAAGACATTAACCCCAGGGCTGAAGTTATCCCAGCCTTCCTTCCCGGCACTCTTCTGAGTGCCTACCTACCCTCAGCAGAGGACAGACCTGAGGTCCTCAGTGGACCCCAGTACCTCCCAAGGAGTAGCTCAGAAGGCTTCTAAGATTTTGTGAGTTTCTGAATTCATTTATTCATTTCTCCAGAAAGCAGCTACAGAACTTCCTTCATCTTCTCAAACATGACCCCAGAACAGATAGTGACAACAGTGAGACAAATTATTTCTCCACTGCAGCCCAGGAAGCCACTCCCCTCCCCTTTTTTCCACACAAAGGGGAAATAATTTAAGCAATTTCGCTTTACACTAGCATCCCACCCTTCCCCAATTACCAGGAAGCCAAGAAAGGGAGGAGAGGAGAGAGGAGAGAGGAGAGGGTGTCAGCTCCGGGCCACTGCCCTCCCGCAGTGCCTACTGCGGTCCTGCTGCAGAAAAAGAAAAGGAAGACCAGGCTCAAAGCAGTGATCTGTTTGCCACGCACAGAAGACAGGCCCAGGTGAGATGGTAATAAGCAACAGAGACACAGGTGGCGCTGTTGCACAGGAGACATGAAACCAAGTGTGAAGGAGACTTCTGAGTAGTATTTTGCACTGTTATTTATTTTTTTTTTTTTTTTTTTTGGTCCGGTCGTGGGGCCTGAACTCTGGGCCTGGGCGCTGTCCCTCAGCTCTTCAGCTCAAGGCTAGCACTCTACCACTTGAGCCACAGCGCCACTTCCGGCTGTTTTTTTCTTTTTGCTTATGTGGTGCTGAGGAATCGAACCCAGGGCCTTGAGCATGCAAGGCAAGCGCTCTACCACTGAGCCACCTTCCCAGCCTTGCACTGTTATTTAAAGCATCACAAAAATTTTTTTTTTTGGTCAGTCATGGGGCTTGAACTCTGGGCCTGGGCGCTGTCCCTCGGCTCTTCAGCTCAAGGCGAGCACTCTACCCCTTGAGCCACAGCGCCACTTCCAGCTTTTTCTGCTTATGTGGTGCTGAGAAATTGAACCCAGGGCTTCATTAAGCACTCTACCACTGAGCCACCTTCCCAGCCCCTACAAAATATTCTTATATCACCTTCAATTGTTTTTTTAAGTTCCTAGGAAAAAATATAAATGAAATTTATAAAACATCAGAAATAAACATTACCAAACTATTATTTTAATTTGCTTCTAAAGAACCATTATACAATGGAAAAAAGGTACTAAAATGTCATATAGTTACAACATATGTACATAAATTAACAGCCATGTTCTAAATCTGATGTCACATACTAAAGGCCTCCAGAGACAAGACATTGTTTCGAACACTAAAGCAAGCTTTCCTCCTTGAAATAATCCAATCTTTTATATCATATATGAAAGACTTTTCACAATAATTTACAAAAACAAACACACACATAGGCCAATGCAAGGCACCGCAGCTGCTCTTGCCTCGGGGTAAGAAAACATTTTAAAAACCTATGCCAGCCCGGGAGGCTGAGATCTGAGGATCGCAGTTCAAAGCCAGCCCAGGCAGGAAAAGTCCATGAGACTCTTTATCTCTAATAAACCACTAGAAAACCAGAAGGAAGTGGCACTGTGGCTCAGGTGGTAGAGCGCTCACCTTGAGCTGAAGAGCGCAGGGACATGGCCCAGGCCCAGAGTTCAAGCCCAACGATTGACAAAAAAAAAGGAAGGCTGAGGCAGGAGACTGCAAGTTAAGCCCAGCTGGAATACAAAGTGACAAGTCATAAAGACAAACACCACCACCAACAAAGCCAATAACAATAAAAATAAGCTAACACTGATTTAAATTCCACAGAAATACCAGCATTTCGAAATGTCTTGACTGAGATCAACAGCATCAACCCAAGATGTTCACTCAAAGGAAACCCCAGGAATTGACTTACAGCTACAATCTACAGCCACGAGGCAACTTAAGAGGAGGGCTCAGCAGGAGGGCACCCAGCAGGAGAGAGTTTAAAGGAATGCAGTCGCTCCTTCAGAAAGTACTTAAAATGCCAGAAAACAAGCTAAAGTGTCAAAGATATCAGTGTTTGCCCAGAGCCCAGAATAATGGGAGACATAGATTATAAAGGGGCAAGAAAAATTGGGAGTGTATGTAATAAATATGTTCTTATCTTGATTACAGTGAGTATAGTATAGGTATGCTTGTGTACCTGGGTATATGTCAAAACTATTTTTTTTGGATATAGGAGCTCATTATATTGTCCAGGCTAGTCTTGAACTCCTACTTTTAGGTGATTTTTCCACGTTAGCTTCCTGAGTATTAGGGCTGTACTGCCTGCTATACTGCCTGTATCTGTATTGATTGATACGCACCGCTTAGTATATGTCATTACCACTTTAATAAAGCAGTTGAAAAGCTGAGCAGCCAGGCGTCAGTGGCTCAGGCTTATAATCCTAGCTACTGAGGAGTAGAATGCTAGCCTTGAACACAGAGAGGCTCAGGGACAACTGTCCAGGCCCTGAGTTCAAGCCCCAGGACTGGCAAAAAGCAAGCAAACACCAAAAATGAAGAGAAACTGCATCAAGTCTATCAGATGATCAAAGAGGTTACCAAAGGGAAAGAACAACTGACACCAGATAACTATCGATTTGATTTTGGCTGCTAAGTTAACATTCTGCAATTTGGAATACAAAACAGACATTTCCACACTTGTAAGGAAGAGCTCAGAACACCTACAATGAACACATCCCCAAACCTTACATGAAGAAATTGATCATGCAATTAACTACAAAGGACAGCAAGCAAAATGTAATGAAACACTGTAAAGTTAAAAGGAATGATAACAAAGTCTCATACACCTCAAGTAAAACAAAGCAACCTCAGACTGATACACAGCTACACATTTAAATTTAAAACGAAAGGTACAGAATCCTGTAAACATATACATGTCAAGTACTGATGGACCAGAAACTTACTAGGCTAAGCAAGCACACCCTCAGTCTGATGTGTCCTCAAAGAAGACTTGGCAGGGTGCCGGTGGCTCACACCTGTCATCCTATAGCTACTCAGGAGGCTGAGATCTGAGGATAGGGTTCAAAGCCAGCCACGCTAATTAGCCACCAGAAAACTGGAAGTGGCACTGTGGCTCAAGTGGTAGAGAGCTGGCCTTGAGCTGAAGAGCTGAGGGACAGCGCCCAGGCCCAGAGTTCAAGCCCCACAACCAACCAAAAAAAAGAGAAAATAGGGCTGGGAAGATAGCTCAGTGGTAGAGTGCTTGCCTCGTATATATGAGGCCCTGGGTTCAATTCCTCAGTACCCACATACACAGAAAAGGCCAGAAGTGGCAGTGTGGCTCAAGTGATAGAGCGCTAACCTTGAGCTGAAGAGGTCAGGGACAGTGCCCAGGCTCAAAGTTCAAAACCTACAACCCACCGGCTCACCGCCCCCCCCCCCCCCCCCGCCCCGGAAAAAAAAAAAAAAAGAGGAGGAGGAAACAGATGTGGCAAACTAGGATCCAAGTCACAGGGATCACAGGGCTAAGATATTTTATACTAAAAAGCAAAAAGCACATGAAGGCCATGTTACAGTCACACACACCTTCATGATGCTGTGCAGCTTCAAATTCTACAATTCTGTTCTGTGCTTCATGTAATGTTCATTGTAACACAATATAATCTTATTTGGTGAAGATCTTTGAATATTCAATCCAGAGACTGAATAAATAAAAAACGGACAGCAAATACTTTTCAAACAAAGCTTGCCACATTACTTCCCAGATACTCTGTAGTTAACAGAATGTACACTCTTTCCAAACTTGGAGCACGGCCTACAAACTGACCATGACTTCCATGACAAAATATGGGCCTGGGAACAGCACAGGGACAGAAGCCAGGCCCTGTCACCGGCAAGGCCGGGCGCGAACCAAGGGCCTCAGATAC